CCCCAAAACCCCAAAACCCCAAAACCCCAAAACCCCAAAACCCCGAAATACAAACTGTAAATTGAATATGTAAGGTAGAGGGTCTATTAAAGGAAAATAATTTAACTAACATAGATCAGATTTGTGTAACTTCATCAATAATTATTCATTAAGATTTGGCATATTATAGTCAATTGCTACTCTTCTTCTTGGCCTCTTTGGAGCCCAGGTGTTGTAGTCCATCTCTGGGTCTGGCTGGTTGCCAAGAGCCTCTTCGATCTTGTCTTCAAGCTCTTCAGTCCACTTAGAAGCTATCTCAAGAGCACCCATGTTATCTTCAACCTGGCTAACCTTAGTAGCTCCAAAGATGCAAGTGCTAGCATCTCTATTGACAAGAGTCCAAGCTAATGCAAGTTGGGCTGATGTGCATCTCAGTTCTTTGGCAATTTTTGTGAACTTGTTGCACTTTTCAAGTGTGGCTTCTTTGCGGCTACCATCATGACCGAAGTAAAAAAAGGCATAAATGAAATCTTTGTTATCTGGATGAAATCTTGATCCTTCTGGAAACTCACCGCTGTTGTATTTACCAGTCAGAAGTCCCATTGCAAGAGGAGACCAAATAGTAGTTCCATATCTGTAGTTCTCATAAGCATGTCTAAGATCCTTCTCAAGGTTGTTTCTTTTGAGAGCATTGTATTGACACTGATCAGCAATTGGCTTGTGCAGGTCTTCCTCCTTACAGATTTCCATGGCTCTGGCAATCTGGTCTGGAGTCCATTCAGAAGTAGCCCAATAAAATGCATATCCTTCCTCAATGATCCAATCCAAGGCTCTGCATGTTTCATCAACAGAAGTTTCAGTATCTGGTCTGTGACAGAAGACTACATCAACGTAATCAAGGTCAAGTCTCTTCAAAGAATTCTTGACTCCTTCAATTAAGTGTTTTCTACTAAGTGCGCAATCATTAGGACCGTTTCCACAGCGGAACAGTTTGGTGGTGATGACTAAGTCTTCTCTTTGAGCTCCAATTGCTTTCAAACCTTTGCCCATGATGGTCTCTGCAGTACCGTGTCCGTATATCTCAGCAGTATCAAAGGTGTTGACACCAAGTTCCCAAGCCTTCTTCATGCACTCAATGATGTCAGCTTCTGAGCTCTCATCATAATAAGGCATCCATGTTCCAAAGGAGAGGATAGAAACTTTGAGTCCGGTGTTACCGAGTGTTCTATAGATCATCTTTGCCTTTTCTTGCTCCATTTGTACTTGATATTTTTAATAAAATAGATATCTAAAACCATCAACATTAACTAGCTTTCTAGGGGTTTTGGGGTTTTGGGGTTTTGGGGTTTTGGGG